ATGAGCTTTCCAACCCAAACCATTCCATAATTCTGTGATTTCATGGTTTCCTCTCAGTTATTCAAGGCATGTACTCCAACCTGTTTATTTTCACGCCATCGTGGAATAGTTTGGGTGGGAAGTGACCTCTAAAGGTAATTTAGAGGTAATTTTTTCCTTCATTGAGGGCTCTAGGAGAGCTGCAGAGAGCCTTGGAAAGGGCCTGAAATGATGTGACAGGGGGTGATGGCTTCCTGCTGGATTAGATGTGATACAGGGAAGGAATTCTTCCCTGTGTGGAGGCCTTGGGATGGATTTCCCAGAGCAGCTGTGGCTGCTCCCAGACCCCTGGAAATGCCCAAGGCCAGGCTGGACAGGGCTTGGAGCAGCCTGGGACAGTGGGAGCTGTCCCTGCCCATGGCAGGGGTGGGATGGGATGATCTTTCCACTCCTTTCCCACCCAAACCATTGCCCCTCTGCCCATCACGTTTGAACTGATGTCAATACCCGAATCCCGGTTCGATTTCCTAAGCTTGGCTGGGGCCGTGGCCGTGACTCAACGCTCTGTGTTATCTCCCCACCGGCGCTCGGGGCTCCGCCGTTTGCTGACTCGGGAACTCTCCTCCCCTGGGAACGGGAGAACTTTCAGATCGTGTCATCCCGCCCACAGAAAGAGAGAAAAAAAAAAAAAAATCCCAATCAAAATCCCCCAGGAAAGCGTAACCAGGGGTTTGATAACGCATATCTTGCTTGGGCCATTGGGGGACACAGCCTCAGCCCCCATTTTTACTGTTTATGTATTGATTTTTGGTCTATTTTTGGATTTATTGCCTATAAACCTGTCTGTCCAACCCCCAGCCCTCCCACTCCTTTGCTCTCACAGTGACTTTTTGATATGATATTCATTTACTTTTTCAGAAGTAGGGCTTGATGGTTTTGAAGTTCTTTTCCAATCTCAATACTTTTATGATTCAACGACCTTTCTTATCCTTATCTACCCCTCAATCCCCCTCAATCCCCCTCCCAGACCCACAGAGGTCCTGAAGGTGGGATCAGCACAGGGAATGTCGTGTTTTCCAGTGGAAATGCCAGTTTAGCTGCACGTCCGGGTCCCAAGGCATTTTTGGAAATGGGTGTCTGGGCGATATTTTTAGAGGTATTCAAACATCTGACGATACCAGAAGTTGCTGGTGTGGATTTTCCAGAAGCTCTTAATTAACGTGTGTCCTGTGGGAAYTCCAAGAGCTGTGCCAGATGGCTGCCAGCACAGTTAGTTGCCTCCAGAGCCATGGGTTTGGTCTTCAGCATATCCTAGGTGGCTTTAAAAYGTTGAAAAGTAATAAAAAAATTGGAGTTTCTCTATTTAAAAAAAAAAAAAAGAAAATGAGACTAACTGTTGTTTGATGAATGAGCTGTGATGGGTTTTTTGATTAAATGACTTACAGAGTCAATCCAAATAATTCTGTGAAGGGTGGTGGWTGCCCCATCCCTGGCAGTGTCCAAGGCCAGGTTGGACGGGGCTGGGAGCACCCTGGGGCAGTGGGAKGTGTCYCTGCCATGGCAGGGSGTGGAATGAGATGGATTTTGAGGTCTCTTCCAGCCCAAGTCATTCTGGGATTCTGTGATGGATCATGGTCTGAATCAATCCTCAAATTGGGATCAGACTTGGAGGATTCCGACAAACTCCTGCCTTTCTAAATTACACATCTGCCAAAGATACATTTGCATATAAACACCAAAATGAGTGAAACAGCTGAAAAAAAAGGGTGATTCCTCCCAGCCCTGTGCTCTCCTCATCCCCACATGTCTTCAAATGATTCGAGCTCTATTAATTGCATTTAAATCGTTCCAGGGCATGTGATGCGGGCAGCAAAGTTTGGGATCCCTCCTCCCATTGGGTTCCCGGGGCCATCCCCACATCTGCCCGCACATCCCACCATGGCAACCCATGCCTGGTGTCTCCTCATGGTCCTGAAGCCTTCAGAAAACCCTAAAGGGGTTTCCCAGCTGAGGTATTTCCTCACCAGTGCTGAGATTATCTTGGCACAAAGACACGGGGATGCGCTTTGGTCCAACAATAAATGAATTTCCAGTGCCAGCGCCGGCATCTCRTCACCCATGAGGTTTTATTTATCAAAAAGGTGCAGAGCCTCATCAAAATGCAATTTGCTGAGCCCTGGCTGGTGATTGAGAAACTTAATTCTCAGAGCCAAAGGCAATTTTCCAAGTAAAAAGAGGGCTGAGGGTGTAACTTAGGTGTGTTTTGGGAATTGTGAAAGCTGGGCTACAACTTGGCATAAGCCGCAGCGCCTGCCTGCAATGGGGCTTTGGAGTGAGAGATTTAAAGATAAACGTGAGCAGGGAAACAGCTCCAATGGATGAAAGGTGGAAAATAAATGCCTGGTGTATCCTAGGGAGGCTCGTGCTGCTCCACAAGGTGCAGGATTCCTTAGTCATGGAATTCTGGGAGCCCCAGTCGGATCTTTTTTTGCCTTTTCTCCTGCGTTGAGAGGGTGTGTTTCTGGGTAGGGGCAATGTTTGGCAAATTGGAGATGGAAATCTTTGGCCACGCCACGCTGATGAAGACAGGAGCTGTCTCCTCCTTCACGCCCATGCAGACCCAGCCCACCTCCGAAAACACATAAAAGGGAGCATCCACTGCCCTCCAGCCAGAGGGACCGACTTCCCTTCTTCCACCCACGTCCTCACCCACAATCCCAACGAGCTCCTCAGCCTCTCCAATTCTCGGCTCTTTTTGAGGAGAACCAGCCATGTCTCGCCAGTCTGTCTGCAGGAGCTTCGGAGGGGGGAGCAGAAGGGGCTTCAGCTCCTGCTCTGCCATCGCCGGTGGCTTTGGAGGTGGCAACCGCAGCAGGAGCAGCTACAGCTCGTACTCAGTGTCCAGGGGATTCGGAGGAGGAGGACGGTGCGGGGG